CTTCTTCCTCTTCCTTTTCTCAACGTCGTCATCATCAGTCGGTGTGTCAAGAACCTACTGTCTCTGGCGCTAGCATCACTCATCTCTCGTTTACATTACTTTTTCTGCTTGTTGGAGAAAGCTACCTTATCCAAATGTTCATGATCTGCAGTTAATTGGGCGATCCTCCATATCTGTCTAATTGAGGTGAGGATAAGTTAATTTGGCGTTTCCACTCCTGCTTATTTTAAAGTAGTGGATGCTTAAATATTTCCTTCAATGTCATCATCTGAACAGACCGTGACATTGACATTCTATTGTATTGCCTCTATTTGTGCATCAGCTTTCCATTAATTGTGTTCCCAACTTGAACGGTTTGCGAATACGACAAAGCAAACGCTTCACTAAACATGCTGCAATCTTAGACGTTCGAAATGGAAAATATGAAGCCAGCTGACCACCGCATCTATTTGCCGTCTTGTGTAGTTAAGTATAGCGTTCACAATTTCACAGACAAATTTTCGGTGACCTCAAATCAACCAACGCCTCAATAACTCTCTCCTCTCCCTCCTCATGTCAGAAAACTTATTCGCGGGCACTTCTGAGTGTTATGCAGTCAGTTAACTGAAATGGTAAGCCATTAACCGATTTTCAATCCTGCCTTGCAGAAACATTATGGATGCAACGGACTTTCGCCTTTGCCTGAAGTTACCGATTGAAGTCACTATATGCCTCAGCGTCTAACCAGTGCTACTTTCTATTCCGTCGTCCGGTCAATCAAGCCAGGAGATTGGTTGTGAGATGTTCGGCTTCCTTGTGACGACCTTCGTTGCGTCTGCACATGTTCCCAATACGTAAAAAGAACATTGTGTGAATATTGTCATCCTGATTCCACCAAGGCAACCAAGCTACCAAGGCATAAATATTTACGACCAGCAGCGACAGACGATTCTACTTTACCCTGATAAGAGTCAGAAAGCTAAGCCCTCGAGCCTTTCAAACTTTGACCATCACCATTAATTGATTGAATTTCAGAGCATGCAATGATCCAGTATAAAAATCTTTTTATTTCAACGGTGTAAACTTTGGTTTTGGATAATCCAACGCTTAACCAGCAAAATATCACTGATCAAGTTGAAGTTGCTTTGTGGCTTTCATCTACTTTAAAGCTGCATTTAGAGCTTTAAAGCAAGCATGATGCCTGACAATTCGGTAGAAATGTTTTCATATCTGTAAAAAAACTTTTCCTTGTTTTTTTTGTGCTGATAAACGTGAAATCAAAAGAGTTACTACCTTAAAGTTCCATTTAATTCAATGGTTCGCCAAAAAATGTGAAGTTATTTCATGTCAAGGTATTCGAGAAATTTGATATGCTTTGCCGATTCATGTTACTTCGAATTGGAAACAGTACATTTTATTTATTGGATTCCTGAACACATCATTTATATTTTAAAAGAGATGTGCAAAGATATTACGTGCTATTAAAGTGAAAGTGAAGGGAAGGGTAAATAATTCTTAACTACCTACGAAATCCGCATGGATGGCGTTTAATCCCTCGTATTCAACCTCATCTTCGACTGTGTCCTTCGAGGCATTGCTGCCCCGAGTAAGGAAAAAATCTCATTGCACAGTTCAAAGTACCCGGTCATTATACTCCTTGTTCTGGAGCAAACAGATGCTGTTCTTCTGACCAGTTGCGCTGGAATCAGAAATGGCCACCGTGAAGAATTCCTGAATACCCAGAAGACAAACGATGAATTCACCTTATACAACAAATCCGCAAGAGTCACGTGGAGGTAAAACGAAACAGCAAGTAAATCTGGCTCTCCACCTTTGCAGTGCGAATGGCTTTGTGAGTCACACACAACCGAAGTACAAAGCCATTCGTATTGAAACGGTTGAGAACTTGAATATCATTAACCTGTACTGAAATGAAATTCTGGAAGTATATCAATATGCGAAATTCGGTATCATCCTCTCTGAGGAAGTATCAATTAATTAGAGTTAAACACGATGCTCGCATTTGTTTCCGTAGTCCATCCAGCAAATTTTTAGCTAAAAACCGAATACCGCTATAGACATAAAAATTCATTTGCATTTCTTCTCGGTCAGGTCAGTGCTGTTGTATGATTTAGAGACGGCCGTTCCAACAACAGGCCAAGAACGACGGTTGGACAGCTCACACCGGCTTTGGCTTAGAAGCAAAACCTTTTAAACGTGGGTCAAACAGCGAGACCACTCAAGGAATAAGTCGATTCATCTGTCTTCTGACATTGGCGTCCTCAATATAAGTAAAGATCGAGGAAATGAAGCTGTCGCTCTTAGTCAAAACTGATTTGACATAAGCAGAGTCGAACAAGACAGTGACGAACCGACGTTCACAGAGGAATTGTTCCATCTAGATGCAGTGGTGGATACTGATAGCAAAACTGTTTCATGGCAAAGCTTCGTATGCAGCGGGTCCTCGTCACCAACCAGGCAAGTCATGCAATGCAAACTCCTAAGGTGACATCCAAAACGAATGACGCCATCACGGGGTAATCCGTTTTGTGTTTCACCAGAAATTATTTCAAGATTCAAACACTGTTGAGTTCTCACGCATAAATTCATTTATTATTATTAATCATTACGCAGTTTGTGTCGATGCTTGTCTGTATATCTTGGGCGCATAAATTACTTAATCTACCGGGAAACGATTTTATTTTTACCTTTGCTTAATTCTAGATCAAAACGGAATTCGTCAGTCTCAAATAATTAGTCAGAGGATAAATGGTGGTGAAGAATGCCAACTTTTCGACAGTCTAACGGTTTTCATACTCTCGCCCAGTTGAGATAGTAGGAAAACCAAAAGTGTATGTGGACGCATGAATGCGTTTCTTCAACGTTTCCCAGATAGATTGGATAAGACCGACTTTAGAATGCTTGAACCTATTATGGTTATTACAAAGTTATGCTCAAAAATAATGTTTACAGGTACTGATATCTATTCAATAAAATCTAAACCTTCTGTTGAGGTGGCATGTGCATTACAAAATATATCACCGAATAATCTTCTCCGCCTCTCAGGTTCTCGTGTCGCTACAGTTCATATTCTGGTTTCGTGAGTCCAGCAATTCTTGTTCTTTGATTCCTCGAACAAGTGGTAAAAAACACTTAATTAATACCCTTCATGGATATCAGCCACTGGGCTAGTGACGGCCAGAGACAATTTTACAGAAAGCCTCGGCTGGTTCATCATTGCCTTTCGGGTGTATCTTATAAGCTGAGGTAAATATGCTCTGTTTGATCGGATTTTGCCATATGTTGAGTTGCTTTGAGTTTTTTACTTCAGCATCTGTCCACTCCTCTATATTCTCTATGTAGACCTTACGAGCAAAACGTTTA